ACTGGTCTGAGCATCACAGGTTAATTCGATGGCCCCAGGGGCATTTGGAAATAAGTAGTTTCATTCCACACTGTTTAAAGACCACCTTTCCCCCTCCCTCAATCTGCAGAATAGGGATACTTCCGTATGCCAGAAGTTGATGGGGAGAAAGATAATGTTGGTTAAAGCCTGGTCTTCTAGCGACACGAGGCCCCAGCACAGCATGTGTAAGTGCAGGAGCAGGAGCTCAGAGAACTTCCCCGCTGTGCCATCAGGATACCTCTCCAGGGAGGCTGGGCGGGTGGCTTTAACATTTTAAACGTGAATATAATGAAAATGTACTTTAACTTTCTGAATTCAAACAAATATGCACCCTGCCGTTTAAGAAAAATAAAAATCTTGTCTTTCCAGCTCCTTGCGAGTCTCAAAGCCATGAGCTATGAGGAGCCAGGTTTCCGCTTCTTTATGGCTCCTAAACCTTAGAGTCCTTTCTTCCAAATAAATAAGATTGTCCTTATTTGTAACCTCTGCAGAAATGAATGGAAGAGCTGTCTATACCCTTCATTCCCAGTCCTTTGATGTCTAGCCAGGAAAATAAGACCATCACTATCAGTCGCTCTATTAAAAGGACGTAAAAGCCCGTGAACCAAGAAGCTCAGGGTCTGGTTTTCTTAGGAAATGCCATTCTCTGGAGATAGAATTGGTTCCGTGTTTGAACGGTGCTCATATTCCTGTCCCTAAGGGAGCGTGGTGGTCACAACCAAAGGGCCGTATTGGGCAGCCTTGCTTTCTGCCTGTGTTGACCAGGCTGTTCCATGCTGTTCCTCAGGCTCCCAGATTCAGCACCTGACCCAGGTGGGGCTTGCGAGCAGGATCGGAGCTCAGCCGGTGGAGGTCCCACCAAGCAGAGGCGGCCAGTGCGGGGGACCAGGCTGGCCTTCGTACGGGGAGGACGAGGTGGGCCGGAGAGAGGCCGTGAGTATCTGGCATTCGGGTCACCACTGAGAATTCAGACACAATCACGTAACTCAGCTGCTTCTGCATTGGGGATCCCTTTTAAAAACCTACATGAGTAGAAGTGTTAACCTCCCTCACTTTTTCCCCTTGAGTGTATTTTTGCTTGCAGTGTTTAGATGGTGGATTCCCTCTGACCCAGAGTCGGGGAGTATTGGCATTGAGTTTGTGGAAAGTATATAATTTTTCTTGAGGCAGATTTTAGGCTTGGAGTCATGATTTTTTAAAAAATAACCTTTTAGAAATGATAAAAAGCAATGTTCACCGCTGAAAATCTGGACAGAAGACCTAAGTAGCAGTTTTTTAAAAATGTTTTTTCAGTTTTTTATTGTGGTGAAATACACATAGTTTACCATCTTAACCACTTTAAGTGTACAGTTCATTGGTTTTCAAGACATTCCTACTGGTATGCAGCCATCACCACATCCATCTCCAAAGCCTTTTTCATCTTGTAAAACGGAAGCGCTATCCTCATTAAGCACGAACTTCCCATTTGCCCCTCTCCCCAGCTGTAGGCAATCACCATTCTACTTTCTGTCTCTGTGATTTTGACTTTTTTAAAAAATGTGTTTTTATTGATTTTTAGGAAGAGAAAGGGAGAGGGAGGGAGAAAGAGAAACATCGATGTCCACTGTGGACTAAGCCTGGAACCCAGGCACGTGCCCTGACCAAGAATTGAACCTTTCGGTGCATGGGGCGATACCCAACCACCCGAGCCACTCTGGCCAGGGCATGATTTTGACTTTTAAGTTAGTGACTTTGAACCTGTAGGTGACTGAACTCTGGACTTGGTCTTTGGTGTGCTCACTATATAAATTTTCTTGACCTTATGTACCTCCTTGCTCACTGCTTGGCTTTATTGTGGGTTTAGTAACGTCATTCCCATGATGCTCACCAGGAGTGTATGCTTTTGCCATAACCAAGCCTTTCTAGGCACAGGGTGCATTTTGGAGGTTTCTCATCACTCTGGTCGCTCCTTTATAGCACAGGCTCAGTACAGACACAGGTGATTTCTACTTACAAATGCTTTCCTTTGCTTTTTCTCTCAAGCAGTTTCTATCCATGGGGGATAAATGTATGAATTTGAAAATACAAATCAAAATAATACTTTCTGTTTATCCTCATCACATGCCACAGCTTTCATTGCATTCATGTGTCTTTAGCAAATACACTAACTTCCTTTAATGATGGGATGCTTTTAATGAAATGAAATTGATGGTAGAATATAATTTTCCCTAAAAGATACATTGTTATAAATCTCAGGTATTTGTTTTATATTTGCTGACATCTTTTTTTTTTTTTTTTGCCTTCATTGTGGCAACTTGATTTCATTAGGTGTTGGGTTTGCCAATCCAGTGGCCCCTTAGAGTGCCTTCCTGTCACTGTGTGGGAAAGTGCAATGCAGGAACAGTCTAGCCCAGTGTTCGGCAAACTCATTAGTCAACAGAGCCAAATATCAACAGTACAACGATTGAAATTTCTTTTGAGAGCCAAATTTTTTAAACTTAAACTATATAGGTAGGTACATTGTTATTAACTTAATTAGGGTACTCCTAAGGCTTAGGAAGAGTCACACTTAAGAGGCCAAAGAGCCGCCTGTGGCTCTCAAGCCGCAGTTTGCCAACCATGGGTCTAGGGCTTGCATGCCATGTTCACCGACGAATAGCTTACTCTTAGCTTAGGTGAGACTATGGATTTAGAACTCGTGTTATGCAAAGAGAGATTTTTCACTGAAAAAAATGTGAAAAAGAAATCACTGAAATGTATAATAATTCTTGTCAAATGAATACCCCATTATACAGGGTGGGGCAAAAGTAGGTTTACAGTTGTCAGTACATGAAACAGAGTTTATTCTTGTGTTACTGTTTTTTAATTATTATGTTGTTTTCTATACGAGCAACTGTAAATCTACTTTTGCCCCACCCTGTATTATGGGAATATAAGCGAAACTCTTAAGTTTCAATGCGGATAACTTTTTAAAGAAAAGACTCTACAGAGTGCGCCACAGGCACACAGACAGATACAACGGAAGGTGATTTTGTGATGTTTAAGACGTGGTCCCTGGGCTCCAGGCCCAGGACAAAGGCACTTGTTCTTTTTGTTAGTCCCTCTGCCAGTCCCTGCTTATCTCTTCCAACTCTCAGGTGCCCTCCTCTGACCTTTCCCCTCCATGGGGTGCTCCAGCCTCCCTTCCTTCCCAGCCCCCTGGGTCCCTTCCTCTGCTCCCAGCGGCCACTCGCCTCCACACACACAGGCACAGAGACTTGGCTGACCGGTTTATCCTTTCTACCAGTAAGCATTATGAGGCACCTGTTAAGTTCAAGTTCAAAGGCTTCTTGATTGCACTGCTCTCCCCTGAACAGTTTTGCCACAGTTATTACTCTCCATCCCAGCCCAGGGTGTCCTGTGGGAGGGCTGAGCTGTTGGCTGGGGGATGGGAGGAGGACGTCCTGGGAGCCTGCCCACCGCCAGTTTGAATTTGATTTTCCCTCCTGTTCCCACGTGGGAAGTACAGCACCATCTGCTGTGTTTTTCAGACACACATGCTCGGACATCAGGAGTATTCTTCACCGCTGTTCCAGGTGCCAAGGACTTCGGGCAGGGAGCCCTCCGCTCCTCCCGGGAGCGCCCCGCACAGGGGGCTGCCAGGCGCCGGGCTGGCCTATGCCACCAGCTCCACGGAGGACCTCCAGCCCGGCCACTCCTCCACGTCGCTCATCAAGGCCATCCGTGAGGAGCTGCTGCGGCTCTCCCAGAAACAGACGGCCGTGCACAACTTCCACAGCTGATGGGCCTCGCCTTGCGTTTGCCAAGTATCCGCTTCCCGTGGAAGCAAGACTCAGAGGAAACCGGCTTAAGGGACATCGGGAAGAGACCAGCGCCTCCAGGGCTGGGGGCCGCGGGAGGGAGCAGGTTGCCATCTGAGAAGATGCCAGATGCCACACGTCGCGTGACGGCTCGCGAGGCTTTTACCAAGTTGGCAATGTTGTGACCATTTGGGTCCAGTCGAGATTTCTGGACTTTGGGCCAAAAGCCAGCAGCACTTCACGAAAGACAGACCACAAACCTAAGCTAACGGAGTTTCTTAGTCCCCTTTTTCAAGGCAAAAGATAGAAATGTATAGAATGTATAGGGCCAAAAGGAGTCCGGCATTTCCGTGCGGAGACGTGTTGGAGGCTGGTTTGTACGGTGAACCTGCTGCTTTGTTTTCTGAGAAAAGAGATTTGAAGACATTTTATTAACAGCTTACTTCCCTCTTTTTCTCCTTAGGAACTTGTTTTACTAGTAATATTAACAACAAGGGTACTAAGACTGTTCGGGGACTTAAAAAGCTACTAGTGAGAAACCAAATGATAGACGTAGAGCCTGATGATGCCACACGAAGCCATCCTCTGCATTTCCCCTTCTACTTCTGGTGCTGCCGCTCCAAGCGCCCCCTCTTTATGTCTGTGAAACGCAGCTTGGGCTTTTCCAATGGAAGGATGTGTGAAGGCTTCATTTTGTTCTAGAAAGGAAAAAACAAAAACAAAACAACACTCCCAAAAGGGGGGGGAAGCTAAATATTTATTTGGTTATTCCAAACACATATCAGAGTTTAGGTTTACATTCTTCATTGTATTTGCTGGTTTTTAATTGGGCACGTGGCACTCGGAGAGCATCCCACTTCAGCACATGTCCCCTTCGAGGCCAGTCCTACGGAACCAGGCTCTCAGAGGTCCTAACCGATCCTGGCGCTTTGCTGATGAATTGCTCACAAATTTTGTTTGAATGAGAAACGGCCCGTAAGCAAAAATGATGTTTAAGCATCCCTGGGGCCACCAAATAGCGATGCGTGAGTACATTCCTAGTGATCACATTCTCTGTGTGTTCAAGATCTAGAAATGAAGCTGAGTTCCCGCCGACCTCTGAATCGGGAAATGTGAAGAAGAGCTTTGGGAACAAGGGAAGGGAGGGGGCTGCTCCTAACGTCTGATTTCATGAGCGTGACCCTGCTGAGTGATGCTGAAGGCGTCTGTGTGCTGTGGGCCCAATAGAGGGTGGGTGTCATCTCCCTTGAGGTTTCCCCTGGAAGTCACCATTCCCTCCCCCCCTCTGACCCCCCATAATTAATGTGAGGACTGGAATAACAAGGGCTGTTTCGTTTTCTGGTACCTGAGTGAAGCTCAGGAGAAAAACAGGTAACACATGGCTACTATGAGTTCTTTTTTGTTAGATTAGCTAATACTTTAACCAACAGATGAACAGGCAGAATTGAGGGCCCTAACCAAAACCCGTGTCACACCTTGCGAGCCCTGAGCCCGCTCACGTAGGTTTCCGCAGTGTAATCGCTGCTCCAGAGCCACGTCTCAGCGCTGCGTTAGGCCTGCCCTCAGCCGCACGGTGTGGAGCAGCCACGTTTATCTGTGTGCTCCTCCAAGAGCGGGGAGAGTAAGTCTCTCAAGGATGTTAAGGAAAGGGACTCCTTTCCAGGCAGCCCTCACAAGCTCCAGGAACGTGGGAGAGAAGGCCTCCTTCTGGTTTTGATTTCTGACCCTTGGTCCTGGGTTAATACTCAGAGTGGAGGGATCTCTGTGTGTGTCACTGAGAAATACCAGGTTTCCTGAATACGTTATTATGAATGTCAGACATCCCAGCAGAATTGTATTACGGACACATTACAGTGAAGTCCAGTCGTGTGGCAGCGAGTGGACCAAATGCAGGTCCCTTATCTCCCCTCTGCCCGGTGTGGTCGGCACTAAAAATGGTTACCTCCCTTAGACATTGAAGAAATGGGTCCCTGTTTTAAAGGGGGCTGCAATGGCCCCCTGAGCTGTGATGCCTTTCAAACTAGCATACAAGGATTCAGCGTGTATTGTTCTTCTTAGAACTAATACACTTTTAAACCAATGTCAAGACCAAAGAGGACATAGAATACCTGGGAGGGGGGGGAATAGGGGGGCGTGTGGAGTGGAGTGGTGTGGCATAGTGTGGCGTGGTGTGAACATGCCGGTGAGATCACCAGCCCTCTGGTGTTGGTTGTGAAGCACGCCCAGGTTGCCCTTGTTTTCTCTAAACAGCTGCCACAGAAGTTTTACCAAGCCCCAGACTCAGGACCGACTAGCTGTCGTGGGAGCACCACACACAGGTGGGTCTGCAGTCACTCAGACAATGTGATCTGCTAAAAAGGAAGGTCCTCATGTCCATCCTGTGCGCTTTGGAGTTCATTTATTCGAAGCATTCTAAAACGAAAAGTTATTCTAAAATGTATGTCTCTCCTTTTCTCCTATTTTCAAAGTTCTAGCGGTAATAAAACGAACTGTAAATTTGAGCCAATATTTTAGCGAATACTGTTTGGAGAAATGATCATTGAATTCTCTGTGTCAGGTCCCTTTTCTGAGCCTCATTCTCCCCATCAGCCAAACAAGGACAGACCTCCCTTGCCCACCTCCTAGAATTTCTCATTGTGAGCATCAGATGTGATCATGTGTGCAAGCGTCCCTTGAGAAGGAAGCACAGAGCACTGTGAAATGTAAAATGTTATCTGTATGATGATGCTGGGATGGATGATCGGATGTGCTGTGACCTACCAGTGAGTGAGCTCACATGGAGGTGCCCAGAGCACAACTAAAGGCCTCGTGCGACTCTCTCCCTCTCTCTTGTTTTGCTTTAATTCACTTCCTTCTCCATTAACTTTTAAACACATTTACTACACATTTTTCATGCTCCTGATTTCCTGTGGAACATGAACCCTGCCTTCTGAGGTTTTAGAATCTAAGCCGAATAACACAGGTTTAAAAGATGGACGATACACATAAAAAACAAGGTTTAGACATCAGTAACGTTTGTTGAGGGTGCACGAGTACTCAGCAGGAGAAGAAATGGAAGTTGCATATTTGGAAACAGGATCTTGGGGAGAAGTCAACTTGAGCAGCTACCCAGGGAAGTGGTGAGGTGGCATGGGGAAGCCGAGAGTGGGCCTGGGGAACGATGGGGAAAAGTGGGTGAAGCTGTCATTGAAAATGAACTTGATCTGCTACAATACAGGGACGAAATTCCTAACCTCACTGTTAGGGAGTTTTGTAAGAGGAGGAAGTGGTGGTGTGAGTACGTGCTTGGAGTAATACAATGAGAAAGTGGTCAGGCCTGGGAAGAAGGTCTCCTGAGGAAGAGATCCATTCTGGAGAGGAGGGGAGCACGCCGGTGTCTGCCGAAGGACCCAAGGTCAAGCATGGAAGTAGTGGTAAGAGTTCCACCAACTGCTCCACTGCTGGGCGCAGATCTCAATGGCCAGCCGTTGGGCCACATTCAATCCTTTGTGAAGTGTGGTGGGTTATAAATACATCCATTTGACTTCTTGACAGCCACCTACATGTTTTTCTCCAAATGTTATTTAATTTCAGAGTATTTTTTATTTTGGTGGCATGTGGCTTTTGAGCAGCAGGTTAAGTGGGTTTTTTGCCAACCAGACTTTTCAGGGCAAGAGGCCTGTAGTGCAAAGCACAGGCGAAGGTCTGCCTGAAGGCTTTGGGCGGAACCAGGTACTTCTGTGTGTTATGAGCCTCCGTTTACCTGTGGACAGGGTCAGCACTGACTGCATTGCACAGCCTCTTAGTGCTCCAGTGACCAAACCAGTCACTCGGACACTGATGGGCATTTGCAGTAACTCACCAGTTAATCATTAAATAAACTTCTTTGTCCCCTTCATACAAGATTCTTAGACGTGAATGAGTTTGTTGGTTGGAAGGAAAGCTGGTTAAGGTTCTGGGCAGGGGGATGGGGGCCTCCAGTCTTAACTACCACACCAACTTTAGCTCTAGTTGAGTTTTAGCCATTTCATTTCTACCTCCAGAGCAAGTCTCCAAAGCCAGCCTCCACAGCCTGCTAGTCCACATTTATCCCAGATAGGAGCACAAGAAAGGCCACTTCTATACCTGCCAACAGACCATTGATCACGAAACCCATTTCTATGGGATGGTAACTTGAACTTCATTTTTACATTTAATCCCACACATTAACAGATATTCTTGTAACAGGTGAGAGGGGTTTCTATGAGCAGCTGCTATAACACACTCATAAAATTTAATAGGCTGACACTTAATACGTAGTGAACGAGGACTGTGTACATTTCAGGTGTCTTTTGATACTTTTTGGAGGTGATTTTCAGTGTTTAAATGAGGACTCCTTTATATGAAAAAAGACTTGAAAGCCGAGACCTCACGGTACGATGCTAATTCCGTGCTCATGTGTGTAATGGTACACTTGAGAGTTTATCTTCAGAACATGCAGCAGCATTGCCATTTAGGAAAAGAACATTTACATGCCCTTGGAAACATGAAACAAAGTTAGGAACCCGGCGAGCAAGTGAGAAGGAATGCATGTCTGAACCTGAGGAACTCTGGTGCGCATTAGTTTCCCACAGGGTAGGTAACTATGCAGGTGGCTTGCTTTTCCTTCTCCCGGGTTTTTCTGCTCTGGGGCCACTTCGAAAAGAAAGGGTGAAGAGACAGGTAAAGATGTAAGCAATCTGGGTCTTGTGGTCCATGATTCTGTGGGACCATTCTCGAGAACTTGGAGCATCGTGCCCACCAGATTTCATGCCTTCATAACTTGACTCTTAAGTGTGCAAGTCAGGAATAGTACAGGGCCAGGTTCAAGACAGACCCCCTGTACTTGCCTACAGCTGTGGGGAAGGAAGGGGGTGCTGGAGGGACAGAAGCTCCACCAGTGAACTCGGTTGCTCTAAGCACAGAGGGCTCATTTCAGAAAAGGGGAGTAGACTCAGCTTTGCTTTCCTCCAGAGCATCATGGGGAGCATGGAGCTATGGCTGGCCTTCCCCTTCCAGGAAAGGTCGCTTCGTAGAGCTGCCCTGGGACGCCCCCTGGTCTTCTCCTCCTTCGGCAAGGTCCGTATTCTGACTCTTCCTGCACTCTCATTCCGAGATCATGAGTGTTAATGTACGAAAATACACAGAGTAAGTGGAGGCCACCCGTGGCATCAGTCCTGCAACTTGAACTTGACAATCATGGTTTGCTGGCACTTAAATTTTGGCCATAGGTGTATGATTTTAGTAATCGAATCCTCCCTCTATTTGTCAGTTACGTTTCTACCCTTCAATTAGCTGCACTGTTTTTCTAATGTGCTGTAGAGTTTTTGAAATAATTTATGCAAGTGTTTGGTTTCCATGTTTACAATTTATACGGCTTTCCTAGCATTTTACATGGAACTGTCAATAAATGCTATGAATTGGTGTCAAGTGATATTTTCTGTTTATTTCCTTTGCAGCGTGATAGTTTTCTCATTTGTACCGTGTGAAGGTTGAATGAGAGGCTTTTTATGGTTCTCTGATTTTTGTGTCTCTGGCGGGAACCCCGAGGACTTTCATTTTCCGAGCAATTAAGTTGAAAGTCGTCAATTCAGTGTGTGGAATTTGCAGAATTGTTTTCACTCATGTTGGCTGGTGCTACCCCCTCCATCACCCACTAATCAAATCGATGCTTCCACTTAGAGCAGATTCATTTTGGAATTCAAAGCTTAGGACGCTCCAGTCTAGAAAGATAAATGAGAGGAGCGAAGTCGGTACCATCTGGAAAGGCAGTAGCATAAACCTGGAGCTGTTGATGAGAGCCAAGAAGATAAGAGCCCATCCAGACGGACAGAAGCAAAGGATCTGAAACTCAGTGGAAACTCACGAAGTGAAACGTGGACACCTGGGTAGGACCCTGAAACAACCACCAGAAAGGTAATCATTGGGAAATGGTGAAATCCAAATAAAGTCCATGATGCAGTTAACGGTTCTGCAAAGGTTAATTTATTGCTTTTGTTAACTTTGTTGTGGCTGCCAGGACTTTAATATTAGGGGAAGCTATGTAAAAGGCATACAGAAACACTGCGTTATTTTTGCAGCTTTTCTCTAAATCTAAAATTATTTAAAAATTGGGAAACAGATTAATCTGGAACAGATAAAGCCCATATGCCCTCCCCATACCCAACCCCTTGCAGAGGCTAATATGAACCTGCCCTGGCATCCATAACCTAGAACCTCCCGTACTTCTCAGGGCAGCCAGCTCCCACTGGCGGTGAAACCACAGTTAACAGTTTTAAGTATTGGCAGAAAGTAAACCTTCATGAAGGAGACTTCAGGGCCAAGGATCAACCAAAAGGAGAATTTGAACCTAATAATTAGAGAAAACAGACCACTATGAAAGAGACCTTAAAATATGTTTCAAGTGTTTGGGAGATAAAGAAAGCAAGCAAGAAAGAAAAAACTAGTAAACAGCGGAAGAATAGGCTATTATGGAAATTTAAGCACATTTGACAAAACCAAATATCAGTCATTGAAGGGAAAATAAAGGAATTTTAAAAATAACATATGCACACACGATGATCAGATACTCTGGTATTTTAGGCATAGCTGAAGACAGGTAATCATGACCGTCTTAATGCATCTTTATATTATGTTTCAATAAATACAGCTTTAGCTTGAAAACAAGAAACAGCAGAGTGTAGACTAACTGGTACACCTCGGTCCCCTGAGAGATCTCCCATGTCTCAAATGTAAATAGGCTTAACATGGTGGAGGAACAAGATGTTACTAGAAGTAGCTGTGGCTGAGAAGAAAGGTCAGGCGGGTCCCACGCCCAGAGCCTCAATAGAGTTGACATGAATATGAGTTTAAACCATAATTGGCCTCATTGGAGAGCCCTCTTTCACCTCTTCATCGTCGACCTGCCAAGCACAGCTTAAGGTAAGTAAACAATAATAAATAGGAAGATAAATCATTTTTGCTCCAGTGCTAGAATTAGATAATTAAATTAATGAAATGTTTTGCTTGTTGTTGGACCACGCACAATTTAACAGCTTTCACCTACATTTTCCTTGTTACACCCTTCTGGGAGTTAATAGGGGTGTGTGTGTTTGCCTTCTCTGGTGTTGAGGACTTGAAAAATTATGGCCCCAAGTCTAGGCTTTCCACATTTGTGTAGTTAAACTGCTATTTGTCGTACCTGTGCCAAAGGATAGCATTACAGAAGCCTAAAACAACTTCTCTGGAAAACTCATTGTAAGGTTGTTTTGGAGTGTCTGGGTCATGGGTGGTTGCACACGCATTAGCGTAAGTACTTAGATCTTGATTCTATTATGTGATGATATACCGCAAATAAGTGGTTTCTCTCAGCATTTTATTTCAAATTTTAAAATCCTGAGATTGTTCTCAAGGAAATATTAGTACAAAGAATTTTTTTTTTAATGGCTTAAAGTCCTAGCCGGTTTGGCTCAGCGGATAGAGCATTGGCCTGCAGACAGAAGGTCCCAGGTTTGATTGTGCTCAAGGGCATGTACCTTGGTTGCAGGCTCCTCCCCGGCTTAGGCCTTGGTTGGGGTGTGTGCAGGAGGCAACCAATTGATGTATCCCTCTCACATCGTTATTTCTCTCTGTCTTTCCCTCTCTCTTCCACTCTCTCTAAAAATCAGTGGGAAAATATCCTCGGGTGAGGATTAAAAAAATGATTATATTTTTAAAAAAGAATGGCTTAAATACTAAAATGGGGTTGCCGTGTTTCAGTACAAGTGGATGTTAAGTCGTTCTGCACTGTGGCTGCCTTTGATGAACAGCCAGGATTTTTTGGCAGAGCTCAGAATTCCCCTCAGATCCTCCTAAAACGCCAAGTGAGAGACGAGGGTAATCACTCCTGCACTTGGGAGTCCAAGAGCCAGAATGTGTGTAGGCCCCTGTTTTATAGTTCCTTGGTACTGTTCTGTTTGGACGCCTTGTGAGACAAATTTAAAAAAAAATAAAATGTAGCCAAATTTAAGTCAAAACATCATATATTACTATATGTAGCCGATGAATCCTAACCTTTTTTGCTCTGCTTTCCTGGTCAAAATGAAGATTAGCAAAAACAAAAGGACATAAAAACCACTATAATTCCATCATCAGAGATACTGCAATCAAACTTTTAGTAGGTTTTGGTCTTTTGAAAAAAAATATCTATTTTTTTTTATTTCAGGCATGTACCTCGGTTGCAGGCTCCTCTCCTTCTAGAAGTCAATAAAAATATTTTAAAAACAATTTCAAGTGAATATGCTACTATTTCTTTAGATTTACAAGCTCAGGGATTTTTTAAGTAGGAAGCAGAACATTAATTCACAGTAAATTGTCTAATTTTGTTCTTGTTTAAAGATGAACTCTGCTTCATTTTCCATGCCTTGTAAGATACATTCAGATTGAGGTCAGTACATAATTCAGGCTAATAATGTCTGTAATTTAGGGTAACATGATGACTGAGTAACACAGTGGTATTGATTCTTTTAAATTTGTATGCTTTCTGGGCCAGAATGTGGTCTTTCTTGGTGACTATTTCATGTGAGCATGAGAAGAATGTGTAATCTGCTATTGTTGGATATGGTAATCTATAAATGTCAATTAGATCAGGTTGATTGATGGTACTGTTTAATTCAGCCCTGTCCTCACTGATTTTCTGCTAGCCGGGTCTGTCAGTGACTGATGGAGGGGTGTTGAAGTCTCAAACTGCAATAGTAGATTCATCTGTTTCTTTTTGCAGGTTCTATCTTTGCCTCACTATTTTGTGGCTTTGTTGTTAAGAGTATACACATTGAGGGTTGTTAGGTCTTCTTGGGAATCTGGCCCCTGTATCATTTTGTGATGCTTCGCTTTATCTCTGCTATATTTCCTTGCTCTGAAGTCTGCTCTAAAATTCATACAGCTACTTCACCTTTCTATTGATTAACGTTAGTATGGTATATTTTTTAGCATCCCTTCACCTTACGTCTTTCTTTGCCTTTATATTTCAAGTGGGTTTCTTGTGGACAATATATAGTTGGGTCTTGCTTTTTTTTTTTTTTTGTCCATTTCATAGTCTCTTTTAATTGGTGCGTTTAGACCATTCACATTTAAAGTGATTATTGATATGGTTGGATTAGTGTCTGGCATCTTTGTTACTATTTTCACTCATGGACCTTTTCTTTGTTTCTGTTTTTTGTTTGTTTGTTTGTACATTTTGTCTTCCACTCTTTTTCTGCCTTCTCTGCTTTTGTGAGCATTTTATATACTTCCATTTCCTCTCTTCTCTTACGGTGCCGAGCCAGCTCAGCCAAGGGTTCCAAAAGCCTGAGTGAGGGCGCTGAAGGGTGAAGAAATGACAGAGAGAATAAGCTGGGTCTAGGTCAGCCGTGGGCAAACTATGGCCCGCGGGCTGGATCCGACCTGTTTGAAATGAATAAAACTAAAAAAAAAAAAAAACCGTACCCTTTTGTGTAATGATGTTTCAGCCCATTACTTCCCAGATAAGATCTAGGGAGCATCATAAGGCCAAGCCTAATTATGCTAAGAGGACTGTGCCCTCTAAGCTGGGGGTTGTTTGCCGCTTTGCCAACAGGTCAGTCCGAGGCTTAACCCTATAGCCACGCCCTACATCTTACTATATCAATTTTACTTCAGTTTTTATTTTTTAAGCATTTGCCCTGGAGTTTGCAATAGACATGTATGACTAAGCCAAATCCACTTGCAAACAACACTGTGCTGCTTCACAGGCAGTACAGATCCTTAAAGCTGCAAGCTCTTTATATGTTAGACTGAATCCTGGAGGATATCGTGGTTTTTAATTCACAATTAAACACACATACACGTGTGCCACTCAGACATACACAGCCCCCCATAGTGTTGCCCAAGGTTACTGTGCATCTGACTTAAACAGCCCTCAAATTCCTGCCGGACATTTTCCTATCTATGTATTTTATTTTACTTCCTTGAGAGTAAAATACACTTATATACACTTTTCTATCCTCTCTTTCTTCACTAGCATTGTCATAAATATTTTCTCATGCTGTTAAAAACTCATTTTTATCATGATTTTATGTCTATATTTACATTTTTTCTAAATTCTTGTGAAATGTATTGTTTATCTTATAGCTCCCCTGTATTTGAGTTTAATCTCTTTACTAAAAATATTTTTCCTTTAGCAATTTGATTATATTTCTCTTAATATGATTGACACTACCAGTTTCTTTAACATTTCTACAAAGGAATGGTTGATTCCTTCACCGTTCCTGTCTGAATATGAAGTGTGTGATTAGTTCTGGAGGTGAAAGTTGGAGATTTCTCACTGTATCCTTACATGGTGGGAGGGACTGTATTTTTTCTGTATAATTTAACCATTACTCTAATGTTAAACATTTAGTTGTGCCCTAACCGGTTTGGCTCAGCGGATAGAGCGTCGGCCTACAGACTGA